AGGGAGAGAGATAGAGTCAGAAACATCGATGAGAGAGAAACATCAATCAGCCACCTCCTGCACATCCCCCACTGGGGATGTGCCCACAACCCAGGTACATGCCCTTGACCAGAATCGAACCTGGGACCTTTCAGTCCGCAGGCCGACGCTCCATCCACTGAGCCAAACCGGTTTTGGCATGAAGTGGCCTTCTTTATCTCTTGATATGGCCTGCACTTTGAGGTCTATTTTGTCAGATATAAGTATTGCCACTCTGACTTTTTTTTTTCCATTTTAATTTGCCTGGGGACTATTTTTCCATCCCTTCACTATCAGTCTGTGTGAATCCTTTGTTCTGAGGTGGGTCTCTTGTAAACAGCACATATATGGGTCATGTTTTTTTATCCATTCAGCCACTCTATGTCTTGAATGGTACTTTTAGTCCATTTACAAGTATGGTTATTATTGATAGGTACTTGTTTGTAGCCATTTTTATTCTTTATGCCTGTGTTCCTTCTTCCCTTTCTGTTTCTTCTTTTTACAACAGTTCCTTTAACATTTCTTACATTGCAGGCTTGGTAGTGAAAAACTCTCCTAACTTTTTTTTTCTTTTTGTCCATGAAGCTCCTGATTTCCCCTTCAATTTTGAATGATAGCCTTGCTAAATGGTGTATTCTTGGTCTCAGACCCTTGCTTTTCATCACTTTGTATACTTCATTCCATTCCATTCTTACCTGATGTGTTTCTGTTGAGAAATCATTTGATAATCTAATGAAAGGTCCTTTGTAGGTAACTCTCTGTCTCTTTCTTTCAGCCTTTAAGATTCTCTCTTTGTCATTAACATTTGTCATTGTAATTATGACATGTCTTTGTGTGCATCTTTTTTGTGTTCATCTTGTTTTGGACTCTGTGCTTGTGTGAATTTTTTCTTCCCCAAATCAGGGAAGTTTTCTGTCATTTCTTCAAATAGGTTGTTCAAACTTTGATTCTCTTCTTGTCCTTCTGGAACCGCTATTATACATAGTTTACTTTGTTTCATGTTGTCCTAAAGCTCCCTTAGGTTCTCCTCCAGATTTCTAATTTTTGTTTCCAATTACTGTTCAGATTGGGTGTGTTTACTGCCCTGTCTTCTAACTCACTAATTCAGTCCTCAGATTCTTCTACTCTATTGTTGAAACCTTCCCTTGTGTTTTTTATTGTAGCTATATCATTTTTTATTTTCTCTTGATTCTTATGTAAGTTATTGATTTTCCCATCCATCCAGTTTATGAACTGTATGACTCTTACCCTGAATTTTTTTCGACATATTGCATGCCTTCATTTCATTTAGTTCCTCTTCTGGTGATTTCTCCTATTCAGGTTGTTTATTTGAATCCATATTTTTGCTTCTCTTTCTGTCCTTAGGCTGCCTTCTTGGGTTCTGAGGGGTTAAAGCCCCTAGCAGTCTCATGGTCCTGGAATTGCTGGCCCCAGGGGCTGGGTCTGCCTTGAGTTCCACACATTTTTGGCTCTTATCTGAGTTTTATCCCATTCTCCCATGGTTCTGATCCCTCAGTTATCTGTTTCTTGGGGTTGGCGGTGGCAGGTGCATAGTTCCTCTGGTGTGTGACTCTCTGTGAGGGCTAAAAGCCCTCAAACATGCCATTCACTGTGTGGCCCCAGCCCCCAAGGCAGGATGGTGTACTAGATCCCTCTTGCAGTAAACTTGCAGTGTGGTCCTGTGACCTGTGGTTGGGCTGTCCAGAGCACAACAACAGCTCTGATCTGGGTTAGGGGTAGGGCGCATGCCAGGTAACAGCTCTGTCTATGCTGAGTGCACAGCGTGTATAGACCAAAGGTTCTGTCTGCATCTGGGTCATAGAACACGCTGTGATGCAGCTCTGTCTGTGCCTGGGGTGGGGTGCACACCAGCCGAATGCTCTGTATTGATGGCAGAGCATCCACTGGCCCAAGTTTGTGTTTCTGCCTGGGACATAGCACACACTGGGCTGAGGCTCTGTCTTTGCCAAGGGCAGGGCGCTCACTGGGCAACTACTCTATCTGGGTGGGAGGTGTAGCATGCACTTGATTGCGGTTCTGTATTGGGATCAAGGATGGAGCGGGAAATGAGGTACCCATAGCTTGCACTCAGCATGGGTACCTGAGGTGTGGGATCCTGGGATGCTGGGTTTGGGCTCCTGCTAGGAGGCATAGCTTAGGAGGTCTTTCTGGTGCACTCTCACTGCAGATATATGGGACCCATGTGTGGTACTACATTGCTCACTGTTGGAGCACCATGGTGGTTCCACATGGGTTATGGCTGGCAAGCAGATCCCTGTACAGGTCCAGGGGTACTGTCTGGATGTTGGTGTGACAGCACTCCTAGCTTCCTTTCCTCCCCTCTACAAGATTGCATGGTTTCCATGCCAAAGCCAATGTGGCCTGAGGGTGCCTGTGGTGGTAGCAGGGACTCCCTGTGTAGGAGAGCCCCATCTGCCAGTCCCTGGGACTCCTGCAATATCTATTTGACCCCTCACTCACCCACACACATACCACACATGTCCACACACATCCCTTTCACTTCTTTACTCTGTCACACTCCCTCTTGTAATCCTGTTGCCCTCCATTTTGGATCTTCAACCTTTGATATTTTAATAATGATGTCTCTTGGTGTGGGCCTCTTTGGGTTCCTCTTGTTTGGGACTCTCTGTGCTTCTTGGACTTGTAAGTCTATTTCTTTCATCAGGTTGGGGAAATTTTCTATCATTATTTCTTCAAATAGGTTTTCAATATCTTGCTCTCTCTCTTCACCTTCTGGCAATCCCATATGTGAATGTTGGTATGTTTGAAGTTGTCCCAGAGGATCCTTATACTATATTCATATTTTTGGATTCTTTTTTTCTTTTTGCTCTTCTGATTAGGTGTTTTTTGCTTCCTCATATTCCAAATAATTGATTTGATTATCAGAATCCTCTTCTCTACTATTGAATCCCTATAAATTATTCTTTGTTTCAGTTAGTGTGGGCTTAATTTCTGGCTGGTCCTTTTTCATTTCTTTGAAATTCTCACTAAGATCCTTAAAAGGCTCACTATGTTCCTTGGTGCTCTCATACATCCTTTGAAGCTCTCATTAAGATCCTTTAGTAACCTCATAATAATTATGTTGAACTCTGTATCCAGTAGTTTGCTTGCTTCCATTTCTTTCATTTGTGATATGTTTCTTTGTATCTGCATTTTGACAGCTTCCCTGTGTTTGTTCCTATGTATTACTTAGAGATTCTATGTCTCCTGGAATCATAGAGTCAACTTGTGTAGTAGGTTCCTCTATGGTCCAGTGGCTCAACCTCCCCAGTCACCTGTGCTGGGCACTCTAGGTGCACCCTTGTGTGGGCTGTGTGCTCAGTGTTTTAAGTTGGGCCTTGGTTGCTAGTGGCATCACTGGGAGGAATTGATCTTTAGGTCAATTGGCTGTGAAGACCACCTTCAAATACAGTGGAAGAGCTTCTGTGCAGGAGACAACCCTATGGAGCAGGACTTGTTTAAGTAGAGCTTTAGTGCTCACTGAGTCTGTCCATTGAGTGTGTCACTTGTGGATGTGCCAAGTTATAATCTGGCATGGTCTGAATCTCTCTACTGGGTGCACTGGCTCTGGAGCCTCCCAGGATGTGCAAAGTCAGCCACTACCTGGGGACACCTGGCAAGCACTACAGAGATATCTGCAGGTAGATGCTACTTTTACTGGGCTTGGAAATACCTTGGCAAGGCTTAGTTGTGAAACAATGTAGGCTGGTACTAGTGTTGAGTCTTGGGTCTCTTATTGATAGATATGGGGCATGCTTATGCCAGCTGCTTCTTGTTTGAGAGATTATAGAAAATTCTGAACCCTGAGCAGGGGCATGCCATTCATATGAAAAAGTGGCTGCAAACAGCTTGGATGGTACTGCAAATGGGATGCAGTAGGGTTTCAGGGACTCACCAGGGTGAAGAGAACAGTGTTGGCCATGCTGATGGAAACTCAGATATGGCTGCCAGTCAGCACTGCGACACATGAGGTCGCAGCATAGTACAATCATTCTAGTCTAGGAGAAAGCCACCCCTATGTTCTGGCCCCAATGCCAGACGATCCAGTTCCTTATTGTATGTCCCTGGATTCCCCCAAAGCCCCAACACAGCTGCCCTGCACTGGAGCTCAGAAGAAGTGGTACCTTGTAAGTTCAAGTATTGGCCCTTTAAGAAAAACTGCCTTGGTCTCCAGCATCCTCTGAGCCACTCAGCCATAATTCCCATTAGTTTTTAAAGCCCAAACTTAGGGTGACTTCTCTTCCCAGGTCTGGAAACCTGGGCTGGGGATCTGGTGTGAGGCTGGGAACACTTGCTTCTCCTGGGAGGCCTCTGCAGCTGAGATATCCCTCCTGATGAAAAAAGAAAAATGGCACATATAAGTGTTAGACCAGCCTGTTCTGTGCCTCTACCCTCCTACTAGTCTCAATATATTTTCTTTACTCCTCTAGTTGTAGGAATTCCATTGAGCCAGATTTCAGGTGGTTGTGAATAATGGTTGTTCTATATTTTAGTTGTAATTTTGATGTGGCTGTGGGAGATGGTGAGTACTGGCATTTACCTGTGCTGCCATCTTGGTTCTCCCAGCATAACTCATTTGGGATTAATTAATGTTGTTTCATGAATCAATAGTTTATATCTTTTATCACTGAGTATTATAATATTGTGTGGCTATACCATAATTTATCCATTCATTGTTATTGTTGTTTCAGTGGTTATTAATAGTAATACCATAATCATTAACATAAGGTTTTAGTATAAATAGAGGTTTTTATTTCTCTTGGGTTGATATCTAAGTGTGGGATTACTGATTATATAGAAGGTATATGTTTAAATTTATAAGAAAAAACAAGATGTTTTCAAAAACAATTCTGCAATTTTGCCTCTCCTTCAGCAGAGAAAGGGTTTTGGCTGCTTATCATTTTTGGATGATGTACATTTTAAATAGCTGAAGATATAATCCTATTGTTTGGTGTACATTCTTTTTTTTTTGGCAGTTGCTTTGAACTTTATTTGAGAAAAACAGAACATAAACCTATCAAAAGAGCAGACAGGCTGACAGGTGGGGATGGTCAGTGATAGCTAATGTGGGTGTGAAGCAGGGCAAAGGCCTTTACTGGGTTCCAAATTGCTCGGACTTCCCAGCTCCTGGGCCCCCAAGCTGGGCACGAGCCTCGAAGGTGACAGGGATGGTGATCTCTGATGACTGGCTGGCTGGCTTGGGCATCGGGGTCTCCACGGTGAGCGTGCCCTCAGGGGACAGGGAATAAGACACCAGGATGGGGTCCACACCAGGGGGAAGCGTGTATTTCCGAGTGAAGCATCGGGAAATGTAGCCGTGCTCATGCTGTCTCTCTTCCTGCTTGCCGCTGATCTCCACCACGCCTTCCTTGGTCTTGACCGTCAGCTCCTCGGGGGCGAAGTGGTTGACGTCCAGGGACACGCGCCAGTGGTCGGGCGTGTGCTGGATCTCGGAGATGCCGCTGCTGAGTTGTCGGCTGAGCCGCGGCTGTAGGCGGGCGCAGCCA